TGAAAAGCCTCACACAAAAAGGAGGAGCATGTACGACGGCGTTTTGAACATACCGAAATGCGCATCGAGCGTTTTCTTTTTCTTTAATCTTTGCACTTGGTAGCACTTTTTTATTTTTGTTACCACTATGGTTATTGATTTTTAGGTGTTTATTTATTTATTTATAACTTTAGTAGGGAGAGTTGGTTCAGGTAGACACTAGTGGTTAGACCACGGTGTCGAGGTAACTTTTAGGGTGAATTGAGAGATTTATTTATTTTATACTTTTTGCTTGCATATCCCTTTTTATCCTTAGATTGATTAAAGGTAGGGCCTCCCTTCCTCATTTCTTATATAGTGGAGCTCTCCTGATGTTGGTTTCCCCTTGTGGGACTCTATGCATCACCTACTCCTATTACCTACATGTACATAACAAGTGTCCCAGTTTAAATAAATAGATTAAGAACCACGGATGCATGAATCAAATTTTAAGGCTGGCAAATTAATGACAAAAGCTGTGGGCCACAAATGCTACCACTCCAAAAATTAAACATTACTGGAATAATATCGCTCTATACTGCCACAGTAAATATCTGTCTTTCAAACAGCATTGGAAAGGAAAATAGTTTTAAAAAAAAAAAGTTAAAAAGTAAAAAAAGAAAAAGGGGTGGGGGGGAGCCTGCTAAAATTCTGGTTGCGTTCTACTGCTCCCATCATTATTATGCTGGGTCGTGAACTAAATGCAATATCTATACACAAATAATCTGTGTTTATACAGAAGTCCCTAATTAGTACAGGAAGTATACATACAGTACTGACATGTGTAAGAAACCACAAAAAAAATAAAAAAAATAACACAAGACTTAAAGTACACAGAAGTTAATCAAAACAGCTGGTGCAGACCCAAAATGACCAGGGGAAGTCAGGGCAACGAGACTTCCTTTAAGCAGGGTTAGCTCCCTTTTATGTTATGCCTAAACATCAGAAAATCTGGAGTTGTAGAATAGCTGGAGATCTATCTTTTATCAAAACATTTTTTAGCTGTGTCACCTATTTACCTCCGAGTAAGTATAAACAGCAAAGCACTTATTGTGTTGTAACAACAAATTAGCAGATCAATTAATAGGTTTACATTTAAACGTTCTCACTCCAAGCAAAAGGAACAAAAAGGTAAAAGGGCTTTTCACTCAGAAATTTGCTAAATATGTTCCCTACCATTTCCAGGAACTTGCTCTACTACAATTACTCCCCACAATATAGCATTATAAATTAATAATATGACTCAAGGCACCCATCTACCTGGCCAAGTATATACATTTTCCCATACCATTTGGGATCTCTGGCCCACCATCCTAGTTACATTTTCTCTGATGCACCAATGCAAAAGTGTCGAGAGAACATATTATAAATGGACAACCTGAGGTTAGAGAAAATTCAGCTTAGAGGTAGTGAGTTCTAGTTGGGTCATACAGAGATTCTAAAAGGAAAGACCCATTACGTGAAATAGCCCCTACCAGGGCCGTCTTTAGCGCGGGGCAAACGGGGCAGCTGCCCCGGGCCCAGTTGCTCCTGGGGGGCACCAGAGCAGCTGCCCCGTGGGCCCCGCGATTTCAGCAGCCCCCATGTACCCGGCGGCCGGTGGTGCAGCCGCACCGGCCCACCAACTAAGGAGGCCCCCGGGTGGCCCATGCACTAAGAGCCACCCTGTGGGCATGTGGCAGAAGGGGCCCGGTCGGGCGCTGTGACGCTTAAACAGCGCGACCGGGCCCCTTCCTGTACTGGCTGGGAGGAAGTGAGTACCGCGTGTCACTTCCTCCCACCGGAGATAGCCGCGCGGGAGGAGGAAGGCAGGGAGGAGGGGAGTTCCAGAGAAGAACTCCCATCTGCCTCAGCCTGCCACTGGACCCCAGGGAAACCACCCTCCATAAAAAGGTAAGAACCTGGAGGGTGGCTAAATGTATGTTAGTATGTGTGTGTGTTAGTATGTCTGTGTGTGTTAGTATGTGTGTGTCTGTGTGTGTGTGTTAGTATGTCTGTGTCAGTATGTCTGTTTGTGTATGTATGTCAGTATGTCTGTGTGTGTCTATGACAGACATAATGACATACACACACACACAGACACACAGACATACACACACACACACAGACATACACACACACTGACATACACATACACACACATACTGACATACACACACAGACATATACACACACAAACATACTGACATACACACACAAACATACTAACACACACAGACATACTGACATACACACACAGACATGCTGACATACACAGACATACTAACATACACACACAGACATACTAACACACCACACAGACATACTAACACACACAGACATACTGTCAGTATGTCTGTGTGTGTATGTCAGTATGTCTCACTGTGTTCCAGTGTGTGTGTGTGTATGTCAGTATGTCTGT